GAAGAATATTGGATTAAAATTAGGATTTGGTAAGAATTTCCAGAAAGGAAAACGAAAATGCCCCTTCTTGTATTGGACCGACGGCCCACCTTACTCTTAACGACCGTTGACCTAATTCTTACACAAGTTTCCGTTAATTTCCATTCTCACCGGCATTTTAATTACCTACCCCTAGCCTTTAGATGGTTTCAAGGAGTCATCCGCTGCTTCCATTTCTCTTCAACATATCCTACACTCGCCTCTCTCTCACTGCCACTTGTGATTTCACCCTTTTTGGTCCCAAGATTTGGTCCATCTGATTTCCCGAGTCTGTGATCGGAAGGACCATAATGTTTGTTAATTCGTGGACCCCCCCGAAACTGTGGGCCACTGTCTCTTTCATTCTCTCCCATCTTCCTCTTTCCTTCTTTCTTCTTCTCTCTTCTGTACTGTTCTGTGTCGCCAGAATCATTCAAACTCGAATCGTAGATTCAAAGAAATCGTTGGATTAAGCTTAAGCAACACATTTTATTCTTTAAACTCATCACCTAACAACCCCAACTGCACACAAAAACAATTCAACAGCTGATTGTATTTCTAAGCTTTCTCCGTCTCTTTCTGGTAGGAGAGAGGGGAGCTGTTGAGGGGAGGGAAAGATGAAGCTGTCCATGCTGCAGCAGAGCTACCTCAACCGCCGGACCAACAGCTTCAGATCGGCTGGGGGACCATTGGATTCGTCGTCCGACGGCGCCATCAAATCTCCAGCTGCGATTTTCTGGTTGGTCCTGCATGGTCTCTGTTGCTTGATCAGCTTGGTCCTCGGATTCCGCTTTTCTCGGTTGGTGTTTTTCTTTCTGTTTTCCACTTCCACCAGTAGTAATATGTATGCGTCGCCGTTTCGGTCCTCCGTCGAGCTCGTCAAAACCCTAGATGTTCACTCCGTGCTGCCGACCAATCCGGGGAAGAGCTTCGAGTTGCCTGTGGTTAACAAAACGGCGACGAATTCGAGAGTGGTGGTTGGGCGGCACGGGATCCGGATCCGGCCGTGGCCGCACCCGAACCCGGGTGAGGTCATGAAAGCTCACCAGATCATCGAGAGGGTGCAGAGAGAGCAGAGGGTTCAATTCGGTGTGAAGGACGCCAGGACTGTTATTGTGGTGACGCCGACTTATGTCCGGACTTTCCAGACGCTGCATTTGACCGGCGTGATGCACTCTTTAATGCTGGTGCCGTACGATCTGGTGTGGATAGTGGTGGAGGCTGGTGGTGTCAGCAATGAAACAGCGGCGCTTATTAGGAAGTCTGGTTTGAGGACTATCCATGTGGGATTCAATCAGCGGATACCGAATTCGTGGGAGGAACGGCATAAGCTGGAGTCCAAAATGCGGCTTCATGCTTTAAGGTGAATCATTTGTCCTTTAGTTATTTAGAAATTTTGCTTTTATTTTGTGAATAATACAGAAAGCTAAAAACTGAAATTTGATATTGGCTTCTAATTTGCTCCATCTTTTTTTCTTTTTTTTTTTTCCCTTGATTTTCATGTCTATTTATTATCTAATTATAAGTAGGGATTTTTGGGTTACTGGTAGAATTAGAATTGATTGGGTTATTTTATGATTGGGGCAGAGTTGTGAGGGAAAGGAAGCTGGATGGAATTGTGATGTTTGCCGATGACAGCAATATGCATAGCATGGAGCTTTTTGATGAGATACAAAATGTGAAATGGTTCGGAGCTGTTTCAGTTGGAATACTTGTACATTCGGATAATTCAGATGAGTCTGATCAGAAACAGGGAGAAGAGGAGAATCAAAGAATGCCTATTCAAGGCCCAGCTTGTAACTCATCCAATATGTTGGCTGGCTGGCATACTTTTAATTCACTACCTTATTTAGGAAGGAGTGCCGTTTATATTGATGATAAAGGAACTGTTCTGCCTAGAAAGCTCGAATGGTCTGGGTTTGTCTTGAATTCCAGATTGCTTTGGAAGGATGCTGAAGATAAACCCAATTGGGTTAAGGACCTAGATTTGTTGGATGAAGATAGTGATAGTCCACTATCTCTGCTAAAGGATGCTTCTGTGGTGGAGCCACTTGGAAGTTGTGGACGCCAAGTTATGCTTTGGTGGCTCCGTGTTGAAGCTCGAGCTGATAGCAAATTCCCCCCCGGGTGAGTCTCCTATCATTTTTCTCCTTGATTTAGTATTTTTCTTCCAAATGATTTTTATTATTGGCTGGTTTATTCATGTGTTATTGTCCCTTGATATAAACTTTTGATGACTGTGCTGTAGCCGTGTAGGATTTTGGATAAAAAGTACTGTTGATAAAATCAATCTGATGTGGATATCTAGACTGGTTCTGTTATAGGTACTCATGATGCTCATGGAAGACCTAAGTCCATGTGGCCCATATCCTTTATGCTTGTTTTTGTTTTGCCCGTAAACACGGTGTTAATTGCAATTGAATAATGTTTAAGAGTTATCTATATTGGTTGTTGATCTTTTGAATTTTAGACTATTTTATTAAATTGCCATAATAACGGTTGTTAGATTATTGGTTACTTACATAGGCAAGACAGCTGAACTCTTGTTGGCATATTTAGATCATTTTTTTTTCTCTAGTAATTAAGTCTCATGGTAGTTGTTAGATAGGTTGACTAATAATAATGTGTTTCCCCTGATTTAGGTATCTTTATAAGAGTGGTTGGTTTCTATACCATTCTAGAATGTATTTTCTACCTTTAATAAAAAGTCAAACGCCTCTCCTTGTAACTGATGATCATGACAGCATGTAATACAGTTTTGATGCAGTAGCATAGCAATACTAAATTTCTTCACATATTCAACATCTGTTATGGATGGTTATTCCTTTTTCCTTGAAAATAAGAAGACAATGCATTTTTCTGTTTTCTGTTTGGATTTATAATTTTGATAGTTGGTTTTAACTTTTGAGTGTTTGTTGTGATTATGAGTTGATTATAACAATGCCAGAGGTGCATTGTCTAATGAATAAAATTTTCCTTTTTGCTTCTGAAGGAAGCTATAATTTTGGCCTAATTTTCCAACTTTTTAAATATTGTAATGCTTCTTAAGTTACTTGGAACATAAGGCATATCCATTTCTTTATTTAGTTTGTGAGGATCACTATTGTGTTGGTGCTTGCTAAAGATACCATCTGGTGGATTTGAAAACCAGTTTCTAAAAATATGACTGGTAGTAGTAGAGTTACTTAAAAATAGCAACCAGCTGGACCATGTCCATCCCAGGAAAAGAAGTTAAACAACCTTCTGTATGAAGGTGTTTCTACTTGGACATTTTAAATCTTTCCCAAAATAGGCCTTGCTCTGTTCCTCTTAACAGCCTTTATATCTGTCCTTTCAAAAATTTATAGTTTGTTGATTTGTTTGAAGTCCTTTATCATATATATTTCTTGTTTATGAGCATAACACATGATAATTATCAATGCCTGGTCATTTGCATTTGAGTTATAATTGATTCTGTATGTTTTTTGCAAGCTCTGCTGGCTACCAGAGGTATGTTTTGTTCCTCATGTCATCTGATTGTTATTTTGTATTTCATACAGATGGATCATTGACCCACCTTTGGATATTACTGTCCCATCGAAACGTACTCCATGGCCAGATGCCCCTCCTGAACTCCCATCTAACGAAAAAGTGGTGATTAACCTTCCAGAACCAACAGTGAAGCATACTACCACTAAGACTCGTTCCAGAAAACGCAGCTCTCGAAAGAGAAAACATGAGGCAAAAACAACAGATACACAGGTGTCCACGAGACATCAAGAACAGAACTAAAATATCAACTATGGACATAAGCTGTATTGATTTGGGGCTGCCAGCCTTGCACTCCGGCACCAAGAAATTTGATTGACAGGGAAGGAATGCAAATGTTCTCATCAGGCGTTTGGGTAAATATGGCACTTCCTACAGCAGACCGGCTGATAGGTAAATGTCAGTTTGAGTTACTCCCAAGTTTCAAACTCTTTATTTTTTATTTTAAAATTTCAGCTATAGTTTGTTGGGGTGATTGATATTCTGTCATTGAAGAGGTCGTATGCCAGTTTTAAGTCATGTATCTTTTCTCTTGTATCTTACATGCTTCAAATTTATACATAATTTTCTGATAGGAGTTACAGAGTTTGTGTTCAGCTGGTTTTGGGTTTTGGTTGCATTACTACTGTAATACGTATAACATTTCCATTCATTTCCAAACTATATCTTTAATATAGTCAAGAGAGAAATTCTTCGTGTTACATGAGTGATTAGGTGCTAAATACACCAATCTTACATCAAAATATCTGGATTAGGAATTGAGCAATGAAAAAATGAATTGATTTGAGTAGAGGTTTCTGGGTTCTGGAGCTGGTGGCCTAGCTCTTTCAAATGAAAGGTTCCTATTAGGTAAAAGAAATTTAAATAGTGTGTCAAAGAAGTCAAGGGGTGGGTACTTAACTGGCTTTTGTTATCCTAAAGAACAAGCAACGAACAAAGCTTGAAAGAGACACAAGATATAGACAGAATGAATGTAATATTTTTGGATGGGCATTCCTTGGCTGTGTTAAGCACCACAAAATAAATTTTTTTATGGTTCAATTATTGGGCCGTATGATGCATTACACAAAGCTTGGCCAAGTTAATCTTCGGTAATTATTAAAACTTGTTTTTGGAATTTGGGTTAAGAATTCAAATATTTGGGATTCTAAGCACTACACTTTCAACAAGGAGTTGGAATTGCCTATAATTCATCAATTTTTTTGTGCATACTAAAAGTTTTTATTTATTTATTTACCAACCTCGGTGGTAAACTGGTAATGTACCTTGTTTTTTTATATTAAATTTTTTAATATTTTGAAATTATATTAAATCTCAACTAATTAAAATTTTAAGTTGTATTGAAATTCATAAAGACAAAGTTCTCTCAACATATATTTATTTATTTACAATATTTGAATCCGAGATTTTTTTGTTCATACTAACAAGTTTGTTGGTTAATGTTCCTTGTTGTAACTTGTAAAAGAGAAAAAAAGAGTTGGTGGAGCTAGTGGCAAAAGACTACTTGTCCCTTGAATGGTACCACTGGGCTGAGGATTCGAAGTTGGAAGCCCCCAACTCAGCCCCCTTTCCCCTCCATGTAGACCCATATATATGTCAAACCTTACTTTGAACCATATTAAGGTTCTTGAAATCCCCCAAATCTTGTGTTAAAAGATTCTCAAAATACGTACCCACAAAACTACCTCCCTATCTCCCACAAAAAACTAGAACAACAGGCAACGGTTGTTTTCCAGAGAAGTAGGCATTTATAATATTTCTCTGGTACACAAGGCAGCAAATTCTCCATAAGGGTTCCTTCGTCTATACATCATACTCCATTATTCGATCATTTCAAAATGGATCACCGCTTCCTATTTTGCTTGACAGGAGATTAAATCTTACCGCAGCAAAGCTGTGTGCCGCTTCTGACAAGATGCAAAGGAGGTGATTTATAGAAACTTGTGGCTTCAAAGCATGCATGTTGGCATTCTTAAATTGCCTTCTGTAAAATGCAGGTCTCTTGGAATGCTCAAGCTGTACCCAATAACATGGGAGGCATTGCATCCATAAACCATAAAACAAAAAATTTTGAGGGTTTTTTAATATTAAAAGTGTAATAAATATACTTTTTATCATCAATTTATATTAAAAAATAAAAATTAATCTTTAATTTATTAACTATTTAATTAAATTCATCTGCTTAATATTAATATTAGAATTAATATTAATTTTTATATTTTTTTATATAAATTTATATTTAAAAAAAACCTAATTTTTAAATACATTCTGGTCTTTTAATTTATGCACTGAATTTTAGAAACTTCAAAATGAACATGATGCATCTTCCAGTTATGTTAATCATTATGATTCACTTGCAACTTGCAACTCCTCCACTTGCATTCCAATTCGTACCTCCAAATTTTTAAGGTAGTTTAGGCTGGGTTGTTTGTGGTAGAATGCTTGGTTGAAAATATCTAACAAAAAAGCTTCACTGTCCTAACATTTCTTCAAAAATCAATTGATCCATATAATTAACCCTCAAAAGCTTGAACTTAAAAATTGTTTGACACTTATGTTTCATTTCAACGATTACATTTTCTTGCAATTTAAGATTTGAGGTATCACATTAGCGTAAATTATATCATGTGTTACATCAATCAATAATTCGTCTTTTTTTTTTTGCTGAGAAACATAGAATAATTTGTCATTTCAATTTGCATTTTGTCAAACCAATCATTAAATTTGTACGACACTAAGTGGTTTGATAGTCACTCTCTTTTAAATAGGTATCGAAATAATAATATCTTAAATTCTACACTTAAATGTTCTTTCATCTTCAAAATTTCCCTTATTTTAAAAAATAGAAAAAACACCAACCATTAAATTTAATAATTTATGTAAATTATGCACTCTAAATTCTAAGTAGGTTTGAGACATGTAATCATACAAACAACAAAAATGATATACTTACAATAAAATATAATATTATATTAAACCAATGAATATATATATATATTCATGTCTGGTGCCGAATAAAAAAAATTAACTATATAATAGTACATTATAATTATAAGTTAATAATACATATTTTAAGCATGATATTTTCAATAATAAAACTATTTTCCATTGCTGTATATATTGTACATATATTTAATGATATAAAATTATATTATATATTATTAGTACCTTGTTAAAAAGACGGGAAGAGATTCGGATCTTGGCCTTGAAGCTTACCACGCCCAGAAAGAAAGTGGTTACCTCTTGCCAGTTGCTCTAATAGAGCCGGCTTATTTGTATCCCATGATTTTATTAAGACCACTTATTATAATTATAATATTTAAAAATATTTATATATAAATTAATTTTAATATAATAATTATTAATTATTAATTATTAATTATTTTTAATAATAAAATTAAAATAAAATGTTGACCTCTGAAGTGGTCCTAACAACGATAAAGATGCTCATAACTAGCCCTATAGTAGTGGGGTGGCCTAACTCGATTCTAGCACCGCCCATGCCCTGTGTGCTTCTCATCCCACTTACCCAACTTTGTAGCTCCACCTGTGACTGGTAGCTAGCATCAAAAAGCGAAACAAACGCTTTACCTTATCTCCGAAGAAACTGCATTAACCATCTCATTGTGGCGATATCTCATTGGCCATCCCAAGTACCCTTTTATCCACCGGTAAATTTTGTAATTAATATATTTTTATATATTATTTAATATAAAAATAATAAAAATTAACATTAATTTTATTATTAATCATGTATAAATCATTTTAATTAAATAAGTATTAAATTTTTCCTTTTTAATAATAATCAATATTAAAAATTATTTTTAATTTGTATAGTTAAAAGACAGTTTAGAAAAACTCAAACTCCAATAAACTAATTTAATGGTTAAAAATTTCATATTTCAAATTCAAAATTTCATATTCAAATTTTGGATTGAATAAACAAAAATTTAAGAAAATAAAAGAGTTATCTCCATTTATATATTACATTCAAATTAAAAAAACAAAAGGAGGCTAGAGAAACTCAATTACAAATTACCGCACACAATTCCCACTGGCCTTGGAATTCTAATGGCCGCCAATCACCCCCGTTACTATTTTTTTTTGAGAAACACCCCATTACTATTTTTAATTACGTACCCATTCACTTTCCATTCTCTTCATAAACTCCAACCTTCTCCCCTTTTCTCCTCACTCTTTTTCTATACCTTGCTCTTGAAGGAATTAAACACCGATCGATAACCATGTCGCCGGTAACCATATCCACTTTTCTCTTCATCTTGTTTGCGTTGTCGTCGGCGGCCACGTGGAGAAGCGACGATGAGGTGAGAAGTATGTACAATTCCTGGCTTGCGAAGCACGGGAAGGCGTACAACGGTATCGGAGAGGAAGAGAGGAGGTTCCAGATCTTCAAGGATAATTTGAGGTTTATTGACGAGCATAACTCTCAGAATTGGACCTACAGGCTTGGATTGACTAAGTTCGCCGATTTGACTAACGAAGAGTATCGAGCCATGTATCTCGGCACTAGAACCGACGGTATGCGTCGTGTCATGAAATCGAAGATCGCAAGCCAGAGATACGTTCCCCGTCCCGACGATAAGTTGCCGGAGTCCGTCGATTGGAGGAAGAGAGGAGCTGTTAATCCGGTGAAAGATCAAAGAGACTGCGGTGAGTAAATTTTTTTTTTCCCTTTCTTAAAATTTAATTAATTGTTAATTAATATGCTTGATTGAACAAACTGTGCTCATCAAATATCAAGTTTTAGTCCTTAAGATGCGAGGTTTTTTCAATAATTCCATCATATATAAATATTTAAAATATTGAATTTGGAATTAGGTTGGCGGAAGAATGGTTGTTATTCATAGAATGGTTGTTTTTGACCATTGGGTTGCATGTCATGTCATGTCATGTCACAGAGAACAATTTTTAGGTTTATTTTTTTTGGTCTAATAAGCTTTTATTGGTAAAAAAATTCATGGTAATATTATATTTATTTAATTAACATCAAAATATTTGTGTTGTTTTTATTGGTGATATGAAATTCCTTTTGAGGGCCAAATTGCTCAAGATGGAAAATCAATTTGACAAATCTGGATTTATATCCAAATTTCCCCTTTTACTTAAGCACAACTTGAACCAAATGGATCTATGTCTGACCCTGTTTGGCTGCAATGTAATTGACAATCAGACTCGCCCTGTATTTCCCCTATTGAGCAGGAAGTTGCTGGGCATTCTCTACTGTGGCTGCAGTGGAAGGCATAAACCAGATTGTCACTGGCGACTTAATCTCCTTATCAGAACAAGAATTGGTGGATTGTGACAGATCATACAACGCTGGATGCGATGGAGGCCTCATGGACTATGCCTTCCAGTTCATAATTGACAATGGTGGCATCGACACTGAGCAAGATTACCCCTACCTTGCCGTTGATGATGTTTGTGATCCAGCTCGGGTCAGATTCATTTTGAAAATATCTGTGTAATCTTGAATTGAAGCTGTTAACATGGTCTTCATTTCTGATCTTTTTATGTTCTTTGAATATTAACAGAAGAATGAAAAGGTTGTTACTATTGATGGGTACGAGGATGTTAAACCTTATGATGAGAAAGCTTTGAAGAAGGCTGTGGCACATCAGCCTGTGAGCATTGCCATAGAGGCCGGTGGCATGGCATTGCAGCTATACGAATCTGTAAGCTGCTTTATATCTTCCCTCTTTATTCTTTCAATATGTTGTTGTTCATGATTGGTACCAAAATTATGTTTGCTTATTGGTGATTGTTGATGAGGTAGATGTATCTACCAAAATTATGTTTGCTTATTGGTGATTTTTGATGAGGTAGATGTATCTACCAAAATTATGTTTGCTTATTGGT